AGATGGTGCGAACAGAAAGGAGTGATTAGTAGTGGGTGTAGTGTGTTTTATCATAGTAAGCGATTACTTTCCAACGAAAAGGAGCTGGACGTTGCAGTGCTTTGTAATCACATAAGGTACCAACGTAATGAAAGTAAACATGGCTACTACAATCCTGAGATACCACTTCACACTCAGTGGAATAATTCTGTAAGCTATATCTTACACACTAGCTAGACAACGATGGTGCATGCTTTTAATCTCAGCACTTGTGAAGCAGAGACAGACTGATCTCAGTGAGTTTGAGGTCAGCCTGGCCTACAAATCAAGTTCTAGGACAGCCAGGACTGTTACATAGAGAAACCCTATCTCTAAAACTCAGATAAAAGGCAAAAAATAGGAAAAATAGTCTGGCAAAAAACCCAGCAAGATCGGGTCACTCAGATGCCAGGTTATTAAGTATTATGACACATAAGACCAGTGGAGTAGAATCAATGCCCACAACCAAACCCAATAATCTAGACTCAACTGGATTTTTCAGTTTCAAGAAAATTCAATGGAAAATTATCTTTTCAATAAACTACACAATGCCAATGCAGTTCATGCCATCAGGATACCTAATAGATACCAATCCTTACCCCCTTTTTGTGAAAATTAACTTGAACTGTACTCAAAGCTTCATTCTTCCATACACATTCTTTTCCCACCACATATCTCTATTACATCACTCAGTCCTTCTCAAACTAACTCCTGTAGCTGTCCTTTTAAAATAACAATATATCCAAATTTATTTTAACTCACTGGACATGCAGGAATTCTAGCCACACAACCACATTATGGTGCCACTATTCACACTGCCACGATAGTTGGCTATTTTCTACTTGATTAGAATTTTTCCCATATTACCTGCCCTTTGTATTGCTGTTCTCAGCTACAATTTTTAAAGAACAGAAACAATGTGTTATAGTTAACAAATTTCCTTTATATTATCAGTATCCATATGGTGCATCCCAACACATAATAAATACTAAAACTGTTTTTCAAATGATACTGACTTAAACCATCTCTGACAAACATTTCAGTGTTCAACAAACCACAACACGCTCAGACAATAAAATAAATTTATATTAATATTTTACCTGCTTTAGTTTAATCAGGTAATAATCAATGAAGTCCCGAGGGTTTGCAGCATTCAATGATTCCTGATGCTCTTTTATTTTTTCCAAAAGATAACTTCTGATATACTCAGAATTTTTTACTACTTTGTGATGATTTCCTGGACAATAGTCAATTAGTGAAGGGAAATTATTGCAGACCTACAAAATCAGACAGAGAAATATTTTGTTGAGATGAACTGTTTTACTTTTAGTCATATATGTGGTGTGTGTATTGTATGTATGCATGCATACATGTGTGTGCCATGTATGTATGGGTACATTGGAGGCCAAAAATATCAGATCACCTGAAGCTAGTGGTTTTGGACCATCTAACATGAGTGCTGAAAACTGGACTTAGGTCCTTTGGAAGATCAGCATACACTCTTTCCCACTGACCCATTCCTCCAATCCTTGCAAAAGAACTCTTTCTATGAGGAAATACATATATCCACAATATATAGCAAGACCAACATGGATTTATAGATTCAGAAATGAAGGAAAAATAGCTGATGTAGGAGGGTCATCTGTCTTTTAGTTACTTTCATTGGTTAATAAAGAAACTGTCTTGGCCTTTTTGATAGGACAGCAGCTTAGACAGATGGAGTAGAGAGAACAGAATGCTGGGAGAAAGAAGCCGAGTCAGGCAGTCACCATGATTCTCCCACCTGACAGAGACACAGGTTAAGATCTTTCCTGGTAAGCCACACCTCGTGGGGCTATACAGATTATTAAATATGGGTTAAAGCAGGATTTGAGAATTAGCCAATAAGAGGCTAGAACTAATGAGCCAGGCAGTATTCAAAAGAATATAATTTGTGTGTTGTTATTCAGGTAAAGCTAGCCATACAGGAGCTGAGCGGGAACACAGCCTGATGCTCCAATTGCAAATAGCAACCAACAAAAGGAAGAGGTGTTTTATTTCATACATATAGCAATTCTCTGTGGTAATAGAGAGAACTGGGGCGGGAGGGAATTCCTGCCCAAATGATGAAAGATCATGATCAAGTTTCAATATTCATGAATCCTTCTTTAATAAAAAGATTATTTGTGAAAACTGACTGATGGCTTATACCATTTATTCTCTACAAGTCTGAAGTATGACATGATTCAAATCATTGTTATTTACACTTTTTAGATGATGGCTGAAGTGAAAATATTTGGGCAACTTGATTTATATCATAAACATAGCAATGCATATTTAACTCTTATAAACTAGACTATGACATGGAATGAATCATTAGAAGTGGGTGGGGCTCCAAGAGACTTTGAAAGCAAAAGTGTGGCATAGACTTTAGGGGTTTCTCTATGATCACAGGTATTCTTTCTTTATTTGCTTTTTATTTACTTTTGTGTCCCTCACACTATACATCTTCATCCCATTCACCTTCATATCTCCACGCATCCTCCCTCGGTCCTTAAACTCCTCCCCACAAAAAATGAAATAAAATTTAAGAGTAAAAAGAAAAAAGAAAAATGTTATCATGAAAGCTGTATTGTGACTAAGTGAGTCAAGCTGTACACCCTTTTATCCATATATCATTGTTTGGCAAATGTTCATTGTAAAGAGTCATTGACTGCCTCGGGGTCTCTGCTTTCTGCTACACTATCAATACAGGGCCCTTACTGGGCATCTTAGATATCCTGTCACTAGCCTGCATCATGAAGACCTTGAAGCCCTGGTTCTGCATGACCAGCTCCTATCCATGCTCCAACAGATCACAGGTGGGGTAGATGTTGAGGGGCATCAACTCATAACCCTAGATCTTGGCCTAGGTAGTTGCACTGTTGGCCAGTTCTTCAACTCTCCCCCTGTACTCACAATGGTGAACTCTCTGACATAGCTCGGGCTAGTTCACTCTTTATAATAAGGAGCTGCTTTCATACCCTCAGAGTTGGCTCTCCATACCTATATCATCAGGGCAAGATCGACTGTGTTACCCAGGCTACGTGCAGGGGCCACTCTTCCAAGAGCTGCAGCTGATAAAGCTGATAACTCTCCTAATATTATGACCTCAGGATCAGCCCTGTAATGTACCACATGTTACAAGGGAGGGTAGGCAATCTTTCCTACACCCATACCATCATAAGAAGATGAGGGGAGATCTCACATACTCACATTATCTAGGTTGGTTCACCTGCAGCTCTGCACCCCATCAATGGGGTCAATAGAGTCAACTCAGCTTTATTACCTATGGAAGTGTAGGACCAGTTTTCCAAGGCACTGAAGCTGTTAAGGAGGAGGATCACCTCCCTCATACACCACAGGTAGCAGTGGCAAGGGGAGGAGGACATCTTTCCCTAGCCCTTACCATCACATCGCAAATTAGCTGGGTGTGGCCAGCTATTCCACTCTCATAACCTTAGGACCAGCTCACCTGTGCCACTCACAACAGGGTTCACTCAACTGTGCTGCCCAGGCTAGAAGCAGGGCCTGCTTTAATGAGTGCTGCAGGTGGTAAGGGGGAGGGTCAGTTCACTCATCTGCCTCCAGCAGTGAGGGGATAATGATGAAGGTGACATCTCTCCTCCAACCATACCACCCCCTGACAGATGAGTAATGGGGCTGGTTCTCCCACAATCAGAACTTCAGGGATGACTCGCCTATACCCCTGTAAACAGTGTCGTCTCTACTGAGCCACTCAAGCAACATACTTGCTCCACTCTGTTGAATTCCGCAGCTGGTAGAGACAAGGGCAACTCTCCTGATCTTATGACCTCCTGGACAGCTCTCCCATCTGCCAGAGTCAGTGAGCAGCAGGCAGATGACCACAGGCAGATGACAGACAGTTGGGTTCAGATCTGCCAAGCTCAATTTCATAGCCCTGGCTCACCCACACCTCTAATAACAGGACCTGATCCACTGTGCTGCCACGAGGAGGAACAGGACCCATTCTTTCTGGTGTTTCGGCGAGTAAGTGACAGCATTAACCCTGTACAGCCCTTTCCTCTTTACCTAAGGTGGTATCAGAAGCTATGGACATCAACACAAATCAAGGCTGCAGCACGTTCATGAACCCTGGCAACAGCCAAGCTCTAATGAATACCAAGTTTAGCCCTGGTTAGCAACCCGCTGCCCACTTCAACCCACTCCTCACTGTTTCCCCTCTTTATATGAGCCTCTCTCCACAGTACATGAACTGTTTTTCTGTCTCTCCCATACCACACCATACATTTGCTCACCATAGTAGTGCCTGACTGCCTGGTTCCTTGATTTACTGGGCAGCCTGGATCACAGCCATTCTCGTGGAGAGTTCAGGAGATGCCACTTCAGTCTAGGACAACTCTGAGATGTATGTGGATTGTGGGCCACACAGCATTAAACCACTCATCTTCTCATTTCTACATGTCTATTTGTTAACTAGGATTCCAGCAGACATATCAAACCACTGAAACTACTCAGTGTTTCTTGGCAGATTTCATTGCCATAAATATTCTTTTGCCTTTAAGGAACTAGTCGTTCTAAACTAAAATATTCCTGCCTAGTAATATGATAAAAAAAATGTGTTTAATGGCCAAAAAGATAAGAATTATGCATAGAAGAATGTCCTGTGAACACCTGGCCATGCTTCCAGGTGTGAATGCAATACTTTATACAAAGAATTCTCTGAATGTCAAGTGGAAAACCAAGAGATACAAAACTGGCAGCCTTGAACCAATCTGAAAACTGCTTTTCAGTTTTGCTATTTGTATAACAAAGGATTTAGACCTGCCTTCCTGATAGTCTCTGCATAATGCATTAATTAGAACTGTGTTGTCTAGCCACCTCACTTCTAGGTACATATTAAATTTGATCTTTGAGAATGAAAGAATGAAAGAATGAAAGAACAAAAATATGTTTTCAGGAGGAAAAGATCTTGACTTCACCTGCATCCAGGGGGAGCTCATAATCTTGACATTCTCATTTACTTTTTCCATCAAGTTAAGAAAATTCTGATCTTTATAATCAAAACGATTCTGGAAAACAGTGGAGCAGATGACATTGCAGGGAGCACAGCTCAAGATGAACGTGGGGTCACAGGGTGAACCTGAACAAACAATTGGAAAAAACATACCATTAAAATGGACAAAGAGAATTTTTTTGGTTTTGTTAACAGGTTAAAAAGTCATTAGAAGTTGTAAACCATATCCTATCTACAATTTTCCTACCAGCTATGCATTCATTATATTGGAATCAATGTATCATTTTAATCTTAAATTTGAGGTGGCCTCATCCTCAGTAGTTGAAGAAGAACAGACCATATCTGATACAGCAATTTTTACACTTTAAACTAACTGGTACTTGAAAGAAAACAAAAGGTTTTTAAACTTGAAATTTCTAGTATTTGGAAAAGAATTGTTTCTTACTGGAATACCCAATGACCCTGTAACACTCAGATGAAAATAGAAAAGTGTACACCTGGAAGACCTCAGCCACAGTGAGTAAACCAAAGAAGCAAGTATTGATCCAAGGAAAGAGGAAACTCGCTGCAGGTGAGTTCTGGTATTAGAAGAAAAGATGTGGGGAGAAATCTTCCTTGTTACTTGAGAATCATGTGTAATTTTAAGAACAGCCCCTTCCATATGGATTTGTTTGCATTACTAAATAAAATTAAAACTTTCTTATTACAGTTAAATTCCAAGAGGGAAAACAATATGAGGGCAGTAATAAAAAATTTCTCTTTTCTCATTTCATCATTTAAAACAATGCATTTTCTCCAGAAGAAGTAAACGAAGTACTTGAAAAGAAGACAAAATAGAACAAGGTCAGTACTAGACAGAGAGCTCTGCATTCAAAGTACTTTCTGCTATTTTAGAAGAGCAAAGTTCAGTTCTGAGCAGCCTCTCGGTGGCTTGTAACTTTCTGTAACCCCAGTTTCAGGGGAATAGGATACAATTTTCTTACCTCTGTGGCACCAGGTACAAAAGTGCTGCACACATGTATATGCAGGCAAACATTTATACACATAAAATAAAAATAAACTATCTTTTAAATTAAAACTGCTGGGAGCCGATTTGAGTGGCTGCCATTACAAGGTGGCATTTGGCCCCTGCCTCGCTTGGGGGTGAGGATGTTTTTTGCATGTTGCATAGGAGGGTGCATGCTGTGCCTATGGTTAATTTGTCGCCCCCGAGCTCAGACATCTCGAGATAAGGTTGCGGTTCTATGAGCGTTAGCCTCTTTGGAGAATGGCAATTCACCCCAAGTATGGTTACCTGTCCTAAAAGGCCAGTAGGTTTGTTCCTTGCATAGCCTTTGCACTCTCAGGGAGAAATTCTCCATTGCACTGAGGAAGGTATGCATTTTACTCTGAGTACTGCCTTTGCACCTCCCAGGAGTTTATTCCATTGCACAGGAGAAGGAGTACCAGGAGTTTTGGGCCTCCTTTGATCGGTCCTCGCATCATGAGGTAAGGACCTGAACGGGAGTAAGACCTTCTCACTGACCTACAGAGAAAAACAGAAAGGGGGAACAGCTGGGAGCCGATGTGAGTGGCTGCCATTACCAGGTGGCATTTGGCCCCGGCCTCGCCTGATAAATAACTCCATATTAGACAATGCAGTGGAACCGTGCCTCTCGCATATGTGCTTAGGGCCAATTCCGTGGCCAGGAGCATCGGCAGGCACGATTCGCTTCTATAATAGAGATTACAGTTCTTCCACCAGAAAACAGGGTGAGTTGTTGTGATCTAGCTGTCCACACTCCCCCTGACGGGCGGGGGAACTTCCTTGTGGTCTGTAATTGACAAGGATGTTTGTTTTCTTTCTGGCCGGAGGGGTCTCCAGAGAAGCAGTTGAAGTATCAAAGGTTGCTAGGCAGACTCCATATATAAGCAGCTGCAGCTCAGAGCTCGGGGGCCCCTTGCTCCCTGCTCTCCCTATAACCAAGAGGCTCCAATAAAGCGTGATTTGGGAAGAATCCTCGTCTGGTGGCTGTTCCTTCCTGCTGGTCAGGGTAATTTCAAGAACAGCCACTTCCATGTGGATTTGTTTGCATTACTAAATAAAATGTAAACCTTCTTATTACAGTTAAATTCCAAGAGGGAAAACAATATGAGGGCAGTAATAAAAAATTTCTCTTTTCTCATTTCATCATTTAAAACAATGCATTTTCTCCAGAAGAAGTAAACGAAGTACTTGAAAAGAAGACAAAATAGAACAAGGTCAGTACTAGACAGAGAGCTCTGCATTCAAAGTACTTTCTGCTATTTTAGAAGAGCAAAGTTCAGTTCTGAGCAGCCTCTCGGTGGCTTGTAACTTTCTGAAACCCCAGTTTCAGGGGAATAGGATACAATTTTCTTACTTCTGTGGCACCAGGTACACAAGTGGTGCACACATGTATATGCAGGCAAACATTTATACACATAAAATAAAAATAAACTATCTTTTTAATTAAAACAACGAGTCCCAGGGGAGGATGCAATAAAAAAAATGGGAATGGGGTGACCAGAAAGGTGATGGCAGGAAGGTGTGTTCGAAACACATGTTACACTCCTATGAAATACCTATATGAAACCCACACTATATACAGTATTTGTAACAATAATGTTTATTTTTAAAAGAAGTAAACAATGATTATGTTAAAATTCTACACAGCATATTTGAGAAACAGTGTAATTTATAGATTTGTAAACATCTCACAAAATCATCATTATTAAATTACTATGCTGATATAATGCTTAAAATTTGAAAAATCATAATGATGCAAAGTGAGGGTCCCGTCTCTTTTCTGACTTCGGGATTTGGTTGCTGTTTTCCATTCCAGCAGAGGATTTGGGACTTGTGAGTCTACCCCTAAACAAATAACCCTCTATTATTCTCAAGGCTGAGCTAGTGTGAGATTTCTTTTAAGCATCCATCTTTACCTGATGCCTACAAATGGGCATGCTAACGTGGTGGACTAAATCCATGTAAAACCAGAGAGGGTCTGAAAAGAAATTCTAGACACAAAATAACAAAGTTTAGCAACATTTGTTTTTCAGCTGGTGGTTTGCCACAGTCCCTTAAGAGAGGTTTTCCTGATTCAGCTGTGGCAAAAAAAAAAAAAAAATCATGCCATCTTGAAATCTCAGTTTTCTGGGTCATGCTCCAATGTGAACTCTGACTCTCTCTCTCAGGCAGGAATTTGGGCTACAGAGCATTTGGATGGGGTTTGTGTTGCCATTAAGTTGCGAACTTAATGGCAACTTGGACCAGCTATGTGCCTGGAAGTGGAGCAGTATGTGGCTCTTGGGAGGAAAACAGCTAGCAGCTCCTACAACTGGACAGGATAGGGCAAGCAGTAATTATCATATATACCCTAGTAATGGCACAGCTTAAATTATAAGAAGTGCTTAACATTTTGAAAAGTACTCCTGGGCGGAAAAGAATTACAGATATGCAATAAAGACAAATTCAGATGAGACATTGTGTTGGAGAAATGTAAGAAGGCTTGGGAGAGAGGAAAAAGAGTATAGAGTGCCATAAAATAAAGTTATTGCTTTGAAAAATGGGTAAAATCTTTAAAGAGACAGAGTACAGATAGTCATAGAAAGGAAAATAAGCCACGTAAAAATGGAAAATTCACAGAGGGTTTGCATTATGTTTATTATTTTGTTATCTTTAAATTTTTTGACTGTGAATGAGCTAAGTACAGAGAGACATTTCATTGTATGGGCTGCTAAGCTAAACCAGCATATATATTATAAAGGTATCATGATTTCCAAATTTGGGTCTAAGGATTTGATGCTTTGGAAAAGAGGTTCCTCTTTTGTCTCCACAGAGGATGAGAACCTGTGGATTCAATCCAGGCTAATAAGGTTTGATAGAGCACTACCCCCTGAAAGGTTGCTGTGAACACCCTCAAAAAATTACTTCACCCAACTACTGACTGAGATGAACCTAGCACACAGGATACACCATGAAAGACCTGATTACCAGTGCCTTCAAACAGCAGGAAGCAGTATGGAGAAAACTATGCCCATATTCCCAAATATTGTTTATAATTGTTTCTTTACATTGAAAGGGGGATATGCTATAGAGATGAATAATTTGCTTTGCTATGGATCTTAATTTATTGATACAAATTTAGGGGAAATTTTGTGATACTGTATTTGTATATTCCTCCTCTTGATTAAGTTATTATGTTTGTGCAGTTCATTTTAAAATGTAATATATAATTTTAAAATATAGGTAAAGAGAGAGTCATCTATAATAGTCAATATTGTAGTCATGTTGGATAGATTTTCTAGATATACAGAGATGTATTTCAGATAGGCAGATATTCTTCAAACCTTTCAAAGACTTCAGAATATGGCATTTAAAATATTTTAAGAAGTTAGTACTTTTCAGGACAGAGGCACATCTGCTGCTGACAGTACAAGCTACTTCATCGAAGAGGCTTCTTATAGCGTTTGCTAGCCATTAGGGCAAGAAACTGCTCTCGCCTGAACTGTTAAACTAGACATGCAGGACCAGCAGAGAAATGGCTGCTAAACTTGCCTAAAGGTGAAATGGTCCTTTGGGCTTCCTGCTTCATGAAAGTCTCTACTAGACATTCTACAGGATACAAAAGAAAGTGACTGGCACACTGCCAATATAGGTGGAAATGTCTTTGAAATTTCCTGCTTCATGGGAAAGTCTGTTGGATACTATGGGCCTCTAGGCTGAAGATGGATGCCCCAATGGCACAAAAGAATTTTGGGTGACTGTCCAGACAACAAGAGATCTCTGTTATTTCTAGAGATTTGGAAGTTGTTTACAATGTACTTTCTATTTACTTAGGTAATATCATATCCTTCTGGAGTCTTTGATGGAGTTGAAGAATTTGTTAGCGATGATAAAAGATAAAGTAGATATAAATATTGTAACTGTAATTCTTACTTGATACTTGTTTTGTTATAGAGGAAATGGTGTGGGAGGTCCTTCTGTCTGTGCATTGCTTTTATTGGTTAATGAATAAAGAACTGCTTTGAGCCTATGGCAAGGGAAAAACAGAACTAGAGAGGAAAAGCTAGGCTGTATGCTGGGAGAAAGAAGGGCAGAGTCAGAGGAATACCATGGAGCCACCGCCAGAGTCAGACATGCCGAAACTTGGCTGGTAACCACTGCCACATGGTGATACCCAGATTAATAGAGATGGGATAAATTAGGATGTAAGAGTTTTCCAATAAGAAGCTAGAGCTAATGGCTAAGCAGTGATTTAAATATTATGGCTTCTGTGTGATTTATTCAGGTGTAAGCAAGCCAAGTGACCAGGAAGAACAAGTGGCCAACCTGCCCCAACAAAGATACCAACATTGTACAAAGGTTTTTAGAAGTGTTTCATCATTTTCTATTTTAGAAAATAATTTGAGGAGTGTAGGTGTTGTCTTCTTTTTAATAAATACTTTCTTACAAAAATCTTATATGTAAAGCCTAAATCATGTCAGGTGCATAGTAACTAAAGAGACAACACCAAGTAGGGTAGATAGAAAACTGAGATGGATCTCAGTAGAGTTGGTGGGTGAAAATGATAAAAACACATTGTATAAAATTCTCAGTGTAGTAAACAATTTTTTAAAAATGACAATACAATTTTAAGATCATGCTATAGTAGACAAAATAAATGATGAAAATTCTATTATACTAGGCTAAGAAATGACAACTGTAAATTACATCAGTGTTACCTAAGACTGTAAACATTGACCTAGAAGAATCCCTGTACTGCTCTGTTAATTTCCTCAAACCTCTGTAATCCAAGAAAATGAAAACAAATATCCTCTGATTGGGATCTGCCACTATTATAAATAGCAATTATTCTGTGATGAAATGATCCACAAAGACAAAGTACACTTATGCTCCTGGAAATGCACAATTATTCAGCACAAAAGAAAATTAACATGAAACCTATATTCATTGCTTCTGATTTAAAAAGAAAAATTTAGAATGGGTGTTATCAACATGACAAATGCATACACACACACACACACACACACACCTTGACTAAGATGCAAATGCTTAAATCCGCACTTACCATTGGTTTTCCTCAGTTCCTCCACAAGGCACTGTGCTTCCTCTTGAACACGGTCCTCAAGGCTCCTTTTGCCCATGCCCAAATTCCGCAGGGTTGTAAGAGTGAAGCGCCTTATCTCTTTCCATCTGTTTCCACTGCTAAAAATAATGCCTAAAGAAATAGAGAAACAGGATCTCTCCCTTCTTCTTGCAATGGCTTTCTGAAACCCATTCTCTTTAGAGGGATACCATGCTCAGCCTACATACAGTGGAGAGGGCCTTGGTCCTGCCTTAAAGCAATGTGCTAGACTTTGTTGACTCCCCATGGGAAGCCTTACCCTCTCTGAGAAATGGATGGAGATGTGGTAGATGGAAAGTTGGAGGAAGCAGAGGAAGGGAGAAGTGGGAACAGGGATTGGTATGAAAATGAGAAAAGATAGTTTTTTAAAAGATTTTAAATTTCATAAAAAAGAAAAATATTCTGTGAACAAATGAGAGATCTTATGGGTGGAAACCACAGAGAGGTCCAACCTGTACCTAGGGAAAAGTCCCTCCCCTCCTTTCAATTTCACTTTCAACAGAAACACTGCACCCCTCATATGAACATGCATAGTTACTTACCAAGACCTTTATTAATTCTTTCAGCTACTGGGAAGCTTCCTCTGCCAGCAAACTCCTCCCCATGATCAATCAGAGCCTCCTTCACTGCTTCATACCCATGTAACACCACAGTGGGCTGCATGCCCAAGTACAGGGTGAACACAGGGCCATAGGATTTTGAGAACTGAAAATAGGAAATAAAAAAATGTAAATACCAGCAAAAAAAAAAAAAGCCATTTCAATCTCCATGGAGTCAACCATATTTACACTGATAATATCAGTGTGGAGACTCTTTCCTCAACCACAGACCACTGCAGTCAGGAGACTAGAGAAGAAACAGAAACCAAGTAACAAAACACACATACTATTAAATTCATAGTACTACATTTATAGATTTAATGTTATACATCAGATACCTGATGTCATATTTACAGGTTTAGAAACAGAGCAGAGGACATCATATAATATGTAAAAAGACCAAGAATAGTCAAGGCACTCCTAAGGAGTAAAAATGCTGTCTGAGATATAACAATAACTGATACCAAATTATATTATAGAGTTATGTGATACAAAAAATAGGCAAGTGAACCAGTGGAATAGGCAAAATGATGCAGCAATAAAACAACAATGTAAGCCCCACTTACTTTCAAAATGCAAATTTGCAAGTCACCACAGTTGATTCTATTGAGCAGCCAGATTTGGCACAGAGAGTGGGCACCACATGAGCTGCACCATAGGCATGCAATATTTCCTGAATAAGTAGTTCTTTCTCTGGCAGGATATAAACATCACCAATATGCTAAAATCTTGGTTTCTCTGTTGCATTTCTTGTGGTATTCCATGTCCATTGGTATTTAGTTAAACTAAGCATCAGTTACTTCGTTAGTGTCTACATCAAATAAATAACCTTTGTAAAGCTGTCATTCTAAAATTCTATCAGGCTTATTGAAAAAATATTACTCACTATTGTTCTTCAACCAAACATAATGGAAAATGTTGGGTTTTTGTTTTGTTAAGATAGGAAATATTCACAAATTTTGCCATTTTGTGGAATTTTTTTGTTTTATAACATGCAAAGAAGTAAATGTCCTTTCACCAGAAACCTCACTCATTACTGAATTCCTGACAATGGCCAGGTATAAGAGTCATAAGATATACAATACTTCGCAAGAGTTTGACTTTCTGGTTATTTATAACAATACTGCCTCTAATACTAGATTTTCATCTAAAACAACTTTCAGTTTATCTTCTTTATCAAGGTACTGGAGGAGCACAAAGAATACTTACATTGGTCAAGCATTGGCTGATGTCCTTAACATCTATTTGGAAGAAATTGCCAAAAACTGGGAGAGGAGTCGGGCCAGGAGGGAGCTTCGCTCTCTCAGAGCTCTGTCTCCAGAAGGAGAAGAGAAGCAGACAGCAGAGGCTGAACACCAGGACCACAACTGCATCCATGATCCTTCTGCCTGACACAGCTGTGCTCAGCCAGCATGGAGCTTTTATAACACTACCTGCTGAATCGACATGCCTTCTTTGGAACATCACTGACTGGTTAATCAAATAACCTTTAATCTCTCTCTCAAGTAGACTTTGTCCTTCTGATAGAAATAAAAATAATATGTTCATTAACCTTGTCCTTCTTTACAGGGTATCCATTTGAATTTCTGGTTTAACAGAACAGATTGGTGTCCAATTAGTGATAATAAAAATAAACAAACATGTTTATAATGAACAACAATTTTTGAGAAGCAATAGATTAATTTTGATATGGAAGAAAACACCTCAACATTTACATTCTCATGTTAGTAACCAGGTATGATCTTAAGATTATGGATAGTTTGTATATTCTATGAAATATATTTATTTGTCAACATAGTCTTACTGTATAGCTTAGGTTGACTTCAAACTGACACTTATTTTGCTATTTTCTTTCGATGGCTAGAAATATATTTGTGCACCTCCATGGTCATGTGTATTTAAAATATTTCTTTCCTATATAAAACAGTTGGACATATTTTGTTAATCAATGTAAGCTCCTTATTTCACTCTTTGGCCATTTGTAAAGCTAAGATAACAAAACATAGCTATTAAACACACATCTTGAATCAGAAGATATATATTTAGCTTTTTTAGCTGGAGAAAGTTGTTTGTTTTTTCGGTATTGTGTAGCCCAACCATGAAAGATTTTTTTTTCCTAAAGGTAATGGGAAATAAAAAACTGCCAGTGTCACAGCTCAGAGTTGAAAGAGTTTAGAAATCAAACTGACTATCTATTGGACTTACTTACTCCCTTAGCTGGACCATAGTTTCTTAAGGAAAGGTATGAGAATTTTCCTCATACCACCAATGCAGACGTAAAACTATATAAGCATAATAGTCTCTAGACAGTAAAAATATTTGATATGACCTAAAACTCCACAAAGAGCACCATCAAGTAGGTGACAAGTATTCAAATGCCTGAGTAGGGGGAATTTCTAACTTAACCTACACTTCCTGTATTTTGCCCCCTTCCCTATACAAAAGCATTTAGTTTAATTATATTCATCATAATTTCTTGACTGTGGACTACGACACTATACTGATCATAATCACTAACATTCGTGGTAAACATGAATTTAGCTAATAATTATGTCATCATTGTTTTTATATAGAAGTCAGAAGAGTTTGATCAAGTTTTGTAATCTTGCTCAAAGTTTACAAAAATAGCTATAAAGGGAGCTATTATAAACTTCAATTACCCTAACTCATGGTTATGCTTATAATTTATAATGAAGTAAGCAATAATTAGTTGCCCAAGTCATATTGCTCTAAAATCTCAAAGAGTAGATTTGACTTAAACAGTCTTAGTAGAGTTCTTTTTATGCCCAGAGTGACACTAGTTCTGCCACATTTGTAAACCAACACGATGCTTTGGACCAACTTCTCCTTTTATTGAATACAAGAATGAAAAAACACTAAAAGAGAGATGGATCTCTATGCTCAACAGATCTACATTTTGATTTGTGTCTTAAGTAAAGAGCTGTTGGTGATGCTTGAAGTATAACCAATTACTGTAGCTGAAGCAAAGATGAACTAACTCTTGGGAAAACATTTTATTGACCCTTCATTACATTTTGTTTATTAGCTTCCCTGTTTTTTATCAACATCATGTAGCATGATTAAGAAAAACTAAGAGACAGATGTTAGGATTCATCCTAAGGTGAGAACAGTAAAACAACCAGCCACAAATGCTTATCTCTTCTTCAGTATGAAACGGTGATCCTGCCTTCATGAATCTCAGAATCAGACTCTGAGAGCTGTCTCCTCCCTTCTTATACTTCTTTCTAGAGCTGAGATTAATGGAATACAAAACTACTGGCAGATTTCTATAACAAAATGAATACTGGGATTAATGGTATGTGCCACCACTTCTAGGTCTATAAGGCTGACCATTGGGGCTGTTTTACTCTCTGATCTTCAGGCAAGCTTTATTTATCAAAAATACAAATGAAATATCACTACAACATCACATAATTTTAAAAATGTTTTGGTAATTTTATGAAAAAATCCCTAGTGCACATTCATCAAACAATTAAATAGGTTTCATAATGTCATTTTTCTTCAAGTATATCATGACTGTGACATTATAAACACCCTTTATTTACCATGTTGTTTCCTCCTTCCAGTCATCTTTCTCTTCTGAAACAGTCTCTTTTTCATGTCTGAAAAAGTAGTTCTTACTCAAAAGAATAAAAAGAAATAGTTTATTCTGGATTAAAGTATGATGGACCATGGCTAAGAAAATTGGAATAGTGTTTCCCCCAATGTCTTGTTCCAACATGGGAACAATCTCAAAGAAAACTGTAAATGGAGACCTTTGACAAATTTACCAATAAAAGCATTAGGTGAAGTATTTATAAAATATGGAGAAAACTCAGGTACAGGCCTCAGATGCCTTCTAAAATTCATAGTATTTTGATTGAATATATAAATTCAAAATTTTACCTAATAGTCACATAAAGATTTGGGAAAAATTGCTATAAATAAAGCAGAGTTGGCCTCTGGTCATTTAGTTCTAGACTTGTAACATTCTAGCCTCTTCACCACATGATGTTCTTATTTTTTCTTATAACATAAAAACATTTATTAAAGAAACTTAATATTATTTTACTAATATTATTAATATTATAACATATTATAATACTATAAATTTATCAATTAATATTATTATTAATTGACTTAACATTATTAATATTATTGATTTCAGTAATTGTTATATTTGATTGACTTTGTTATAATTATTAATTATTACTAATTGACTTAATATTATTGTTTTATCAATATTATTGTTTTATCAATTGGACGGCAGAAAATTTTTTCCTAGGGCAAATGTGTGGAGATATAAATAAAAATCACAGTGATTTTTTTACTTGTGCAACTAAATTAGAAAATAAGAAAAGAAAAACTGGCTTTCTCATTCCACATGATAATTTCAAGTGAGCTAGCAGATGCTCAGCAGCGGGGACAGGGCACCTTCATAGTGTATATGGCTCCTGTGAACACAGGAAGTCTTATAGTGAGCTCCCCCACTCTGAGAAGAACTAAGGTCACCAGAGGGGTTTGAGCCTGACCTCTGAGGACCAGGAGGGCCACAAAGTCTCCAGCTCACTTCCCCTAAGCCACATAGGTAATGACTTATATTACATGACCAACCTGAGCAACCTACCTGCCACCCTGAAATGACAGTGTGTAAAGATTTGCAAAGCTGTGAGGTTTGCAAGGCAGATTAGATGGAAGCATGGCAGTTCTAAAGAGTCAGTCAGCCTTCATGTTTACCTCCTCTTTCAAGGAAGTAACATCCACAAGCAAAATCCTCTAGAACAATACATTTTTGACATGGTGGGATCTTGTAACATGAAGGGGCCAGGTCTGCTTGTTTGTTGGGGTTTTTGTCCTGCCCTTACCCCCAGCTGTTTAGTCCCAGAGAAAAATCACACAAAGATCTCTTTAAGTTATAAGCTGATTGGCCCATTAGCTCTAGCCTCTCACTGGCTAACTCTCACATCTTGATTAACGCATTTTTCTGATCTATGTTAGCCATGTGGCTCAGTACCATTTTTCAGTGGGGCAGATCACATCCTACTGCTTCCATGGTCTGAGCAGGAGTGGGAGGAATCAACTTCCTCCTTCCCAAAATTCTCCTGTTCGCATTACATCATTTCTAACTTCCTGTCTGGTTTTCCCACCTAAATTTCCTACCTGGCCAATCAGCGTTTATTTATAACATGACTGACAGAATACAGACAATTCTCCCACACCAGGATCTGACAACTAAAATAGAGAAAATGGTTGTATTGCCAGTATCTTATGGATCTACCTTGCTTATACCCAGAGAAAAATTTGAATTCAACATTTAAAAAAAAGGAAAAAGGAAGAGTAGAAGGAATGCAGAGACTTGTTCAAATATTTCATAGATATGTTCTGAAATTGGTGTGTTTTCGAGATTATAGTTAATATTTTTATCATCTTATGAATTTGTGCTGCTATGGTTGACTGTTCTTGTAACTTACTCAGACAACTTTTCAAAGAGTGAAGAATAAGGTTCTGCAGTGCTCATATTCCTACAGACATGCTCTTTAATTAGGTGTTCTTAGTCCAAGTTCAAGAACTAAGAAATCCGAGTGAGAATCTATAATGTCCAACCTAGGTGAAATAAAAAGAAACGTTACATTGAAGAATTTAAGAATCAAGGCATTGGACTCAGACCGGTGAGCCTCAAGGTCTCCTGTAAGGGAGCCTAGGCACCCTCAGCCTGTGCTCCAGGGGCTCCTGTGCTCTCCTGGATCCCGCACTGCCTGCCCCTTTCTTCCTTCTGTCCCCGGATCATTGGGCTACCAGGCGGCCCTGATTAGGTGCTGAGGAGTTCCATCTGGACGGGTGAGTGTGTGCTATCCAGGGGCAATTGTCCCGTAAGAGAGCTCAAAACCCCCTCCCCCAGCTCCTTCTGCAGGGCTGTCTTTCTTAC